AGGAGAGTTAAAGGTGAGAAACATAAGACGAGATCTGAACCCTTGATCACTTTTAATCTCAAACTCACCCATGAATTGTGCTTGATATGAGGATTGATTCAGTGCATCTTGGTGCATCTCATGTCGGTCCATCTCATCCTCTGCACATGTTAGGATGGAGATCCCTTCTTATGTTTCTTATTTTAACTATCATTCTCACTGAAACCCAACCCTATAGATATATACTAGAAGGGTACTTGCGTAATGCAGTAAGATACATCTCGATTTTAATATTCCATTTTATTCTTTGTCTTTGTCGATGTTATAATAAGGTTTTATGTTGTTTTGAAAAAACGATAATGTTTTTATTTTTTAATAAAATATAAATTCAAAGATATCATAAAAATTTGAAGGAAAAAATATAGATGTTCATATTGAATTTAAAACTTCTCATTTTTTTGTGTAATATTTAATTCAATTTTTTAATTATAATTTAGTTTAGGCTTAATAACGAAGTAATTATTTTTGATTTAATAATATATTTTTTATAAAAATAATAATTAAGTATTCCATTAGAACTCAATGATTATGTTATTATATTGTAGATTTTTTATATTAAAAATGAGATGTCTAAGATGTCTATCATATATTTGACTCTGTTTATCTACAGTTAGTTACACAAATTCAAACATGGAGCTTTAATAAGTTGTACTTATATACAATTACTTGTAATCTTGAATTTTGAGTAATGTAGATCAATAAACAGTACTTCATGCATAAAAAATGGTTTTTAAGAGTTTTTATTGAATGTTTATAATATAGAAGAAATATAGGAGAAAAATAGTGTAAGAAAGAAAGTTAATATGAGAAGCGTAAGAAAGAATATAGACCATTGATCACATTTAATTTCAAACTCACTCATGAATCGTACTTTATACGGGATTGACCCGGTGCATCTCGATGCATCTCATCCTAATGCGTATCTAAGGGTGGAGATCATTTCTTACGTTTCTCTATTTAACTCTCTTTCTCACTGGAACTCAACCCAATAGATATAAATAGATGGCAAGACGAAGGATCGGTGAAAAGGATAGTTAAGGTGAGAAACATAAGAAATGATTTGTACTCTTCATCACCTTTAATCTCAAACCCACCCATGAATCCCGCTTGTTACAGATATTAGCCTGGTGCATCTCGGTGTATCTCATTCTAATGTGCATCTAATGATGGAGATCCCTTCTTACGCTTCTTACTTTAACTCTTCTAAGATGAAACAGATATTCGTTAGACTAGATGAACGGTTGATATTGGTTTGTAACATTTTCATGGTTTGTATTTGATTGAGACTGTATATGTGTGTGTGTATTGTAGTTTTATTTACAAACTCACAAACCAATTAATTGAGATATTTATAAAAATGACGAGAGTTCATTTACTATGATTTAAATATTGATAGAAAAATATTATATTTCATTTGTTATGATCAACGTTTATATTAGAAAACAATTGAGATATTCATTGAAACATATATATTTATTAGATGAGATGAATTTGATCTGTAGATGAGCAATGCTCTCTCCTCTCTCTCTCTCTCTATATATATATATATACATATATATATATATATATATATATATATATACATAGGGGAGCGATCAAATGCAAACCACTCAATTTGTACAAACCGTGCAAACCGCATTCAACCAATCATAATTTTTCATTTTGTTCATTTTTTTGTAATTATGAGAGGTTGATTAATCATTTTTATTGTGGAGGGTGTTAATCATAGATATTATCATCTTCATTATTTTAATTTTAGAGAAATACATGAAACTGTTTCATTAATGTTAGAGAAATACATGAAACAGTTTCATTAAGTATTATATGAAACAATTTCACAACCATATATGAAACAACTTCATCAAAAAAAGTATTATATGAAACAATTTCACAAGATTAAACAATTTCATGAAAAAATTTCATAAGATTAAACAATGAAATCGACAGATGAAGGTGGTTTGCACGGTTTACACAAATGAGGGTGGTTTTCATATGATCACTCCTCTATATACATATATATATATATATATATATATAAGTGGAGGTTCAAACAAGAACACCTTCATTTTACGATAACACGAGAACACCCTTATCACATGTAATAATATGCGTGAGGGGACCCTGTGATGTACCGACGACGTGTTCTACGACTTAGGCCGCACCAAAGGTTGTCTGGGTCTATGATTCAGCATTACATGTGATGGTCTTGATAGATTATAGTATCATATCAACAACACCCTTATCACATGTGATAATACTTATGAAGGGGCTTAGTGGTGTAAGGGCGACGTGACCCGCAACCAAGATCGCATCGAATATCGCTCGTGTCTCTGATTTAGTATCACATGTCTATCATATGTGATGAAATAATAATATCACATGTGATTATCTATAGTAAAATGGTGTTCTTATGTTCTCGTAAAATAAAAGTGTTCTCGTTTGAACCATTTCCTCTCTCTCTCTCTCTCTCTCTCTCTATATATATATATATATATATATATATATATATATATCTTCACTATCTCCTTCTATATATCGGTTTATCTACAATATTGGTTAAGATCAAAGAAATTATTTTACACTTTCAAAAACATAAAACTATTAAGATTTTTCATAAAACATCCAAATAAATGTTCATTTCTCAATAGTCACCGGTTTAAGGTCAATGGGAATTTTTTCTGACTATTTCACAAAACGCTTGATATTAGTCGAAATATGCAACAACTAGTCTAGACACCATAGTAAACAAAGGAAAAAGTTTGCTCCACATTATCCACCAATTTGAGTCTCCTCAATGTCAATGGCACTAAAACTAAAGGTTGGTCTATTAATCTTAAACCCTACAAAAACAAATCCGTTTTCATGACCAGGTTGGGTACCTGACGAGAACGAGAGTTAAGGTGAGAAGCATAAGGGATCTCCACCTTGAATGCACATTAGAATGAGATGCACCGAGATACACACCAGATCAATCCCCGTATCTAACGTTGTTCGTAGGTGGTTGAGATTAAAGATAATTAAGGGTTCACGTCTCTTCTTACACTTCTCACATTCACTCTCCTCACACACCATCTTTCACCTTTCATGACTTATGGCGTTGATTTTGTAGAACACTAAAACGATCATATAAACATTTTGATATGGAAACGCAATTGCCATTTACGGTGAAGGGTGTCACATGTACACAAGATGGCGTGGGGATGGAGATTGCTATTTGGTAATACATTTATCTGGAAGCCTCAACACACATATAAAAGCAAATCAAACTTTGTTAGAAGTTTAACGAGCTTAATAAAACTCACAACTTATTCGGTCAATTATACATGACTGTTTGTAGTGGCTTAATGCATAAGAAAGCTTAGGGGCAGTTTGGCAATTGCTGAATGATTTGATGTGTAATGATTAATAGTCAGAATGATTAAGAGGCTCTCATGATATAGTGCAAAAATGAAATATAATTGTTTGGTAATTGTATACAATGAAATCAGGGCTCTTAATGGTTAAAGGAGATCCATAATACAAAATCATTCAGAGGGTTTTAAAACCATTAAGAGACAGACTTTTTTTTTGCCAAATAAGATTCACCTCTTAACGATTCAAAGGTTGCCTCTTAATGGAACTGTTAAGAAGTTAACAAACAACCCCTTAATGTATATAGAAAGTAGCTTATTTAGTGCTTTTAAAGGAAAGTTTTATGCAAAAAGCAAAAAAAATTCAAACTTTTTCAATCTATACAAACAAACTAATTTACACAGACAACTTTATCCTGATGGAAAACCAACCAAACTGCCCTAAACCACGTATAGAATAGGGTTCATAATGGGTAAATATACATTCGCTTACTTTTATTTATCACAAAGTGCAAAGATGTTTCCATGAATATCTCCAACTTAGGAAGAAAAACATTGTAGGGTACAACATCTAATGCAATATGCATAGGTTTGTGCATCATATAAGAGACATATCAGGTAAGGCCTACTAAGTGGCCGGTTAAGAGCCCATTGCCAACAAAGAAGTTGCAACTCCCACATTACAACTATCAAACTCAAACCCTCGTCTTTATGAACAAGTATCTCACCCCAAAACCAATATGTACAAGTCATTATAGCACAAAAAAATGAGAAACGTTTTTCTTGAGACTTAAATTATCAAACTTGGTGCAGGATCTACATGTTGTAACATGCAATAACATGATCGCATTGAATTTGATCGGTTTTGGGAAAAAAATAATTGAAGTTTTGAAAAGGAAGTCGTTCTTGTGAAGTAAGAAGTGTTAAGCTAAAAATGAATGAGGCAAGAATGAGACAAGTGCAGAGCAAGTGAGATGGTCCCCTGTGTACAATTATATGTATAACATTAACAAAGCACAGATAGATACAAGAAAGTCAATATTATTACTGCACCAATTTTGTATCTTCTGCTGTCTACTACACCTCTGTAAAAAGCTCTGCAGATGCTCTCACCCTTTGTCTCTCTCCCAGTGCTAACTTCCATGTCAAATATTCTTTCATTTGCCTCCATCTTTTCAAAAGTTTATATTATAAAAAATGAGGCTTCTTATCCCAACCCTACACTCTTCTATGCATTCAACATCTGAATAAGACCAGACCAGACCAGACCAAACCAAACCAATATATTCCATTCAAAGGAGAAGTTTAAAAGGATAAGATGTATGAAAACCTGGCATCTACCTCAAAGAACATATATGTAACATTTGGTCCAGTTAATCTCGAATACAAAACGTCCATTTCATATGAACTATAATCCAAAAGAACTGAAGGGGTTGTTAGGTTCAGGTAACGGAATGAAAATGGAAATGGCAGGGAAAGAATTTTCATTCCTCTCGGTTCAACTTGGAATGAAAATTTGTGCTTGTGAAGAATGAGCTCATTATATTTAATACAAAACCAAACAGTTTCATTTTATTTTCAATTCTATTAATTACTGTTTAATACCTTTAACCAAACACCTATGATTGTATCTGGTGGGAATCGAACTGATTACACAAATCCCCAAAGGTATTCAGCATGAAACCTGTTCCCTAGATATTCCCTTTATTTCCCAATCATGTGAATCTAGGGGTCCAAGTGCTAATAACAAGAATCGGGGGACTCAAGTGTAAACTCCAGATAAGCGTGGCTTACATTCCAAGCTTGCAGATGAGAAGGGGTAAATCCCAGATCTGACATAAAGGTAAAACACATATTAACACAAAGATCAGTGGCAGTGATTCACTATCATAGTTCTTTGGCAGTTGCTGAATGGTTTGATGCAGGATAATTAAGAGGCTTTAATAATATATTGCAAAATGAAATATGGTTTCTGGTAATAGTTCAGAATGGAACTCTGAATGGTTTTGGGAGACCCAATATACAATATTATTCAGAGAGTTTTAGAACCATTAAGAGGCAGACTTTGTTTTGCTAAACACGATTCACCTCTTAACGATTCCTCTAAATGGAACTATGAAGAGGTAAACAAACAGCTGTAAGAGTGCCCTTAAGAGTGAGCCATGTGCCAAGCTCCTTGGCTTTGCGAGGGTTGGGCTTAGTGACTCGGCTCACCATTTGTGATCAAAGAAAAGAAAAAGGGGAAGAAAAGAAAGATGGTTATCCATCAGCATGAGTTAGCCCACGGACAAAGCTAACAGGTTTTACCATATACAATAATTAATAACATCACAGCACTGAACAAGAAGAAAAGAATATATTCTGTATCATAATTTTTGGGTTGAAAAGAAGAGAAAAAGGATACATCACCGATCAACTGTATTAATCTTGATCTCCATCAGCTCCTCAATGGGTTGACGACAGATAGGGCACTTGTTTGATTGAAGTCGCAATGCTTTGGCACACTCACTGCATAGACACTGAATGATGCAAAAAGTTGAGATCAGAAAAAGTGGATAGTCGGAAACAACCAATGAGATCAAACTCTTCAATTGTCATTGTGGTATACACACAGATAAACCAAACCAACCCAAACGAGCCAAGTATATCCCACATGGAGGTGAGATGTAAGCAGACTTGACCTCTACTCCCAAAGAGTAAAGTGATTGATGGTATACAAACAGATCATACCCATTTTCTAGAACAAGCCACAATCAAAGTTACGAAAACATTACTCGTGTGTAGGGGGCTCTCAGAAAGAGAAACCATAATTAAATTTCAGAAAAGATTTGACCTATTTATAGGGTTCTTAAACTCAAAACCATGTCAACATTGTTCTTGAAATAAAAACACAAAAGAGATGGTTAATTGTAATGATGCACTGTAAACTTCCCATTAGATAACAAATGTGAATAACCCTATGCTCCAGAAGAGTGATAAGTTTGGGATCAGCTTAACTAGGGTTGTAAATAATATCCAGAAATCCTTATATCAGTCTAAATCTGATTCAAGTAATTTGTATCTGTATCCACCATATATCTATTTAGATGTGGACAGTGGACATTTAAAAGTATCTAATATCCAACATTTATTTACATAATAGATTCTTAATGCAGTTATAATGATTACATATTTTTATAATACAACAATATATTTATAAAATGAGGGTACAAATTTAATTATTCTTGACAATTAAGCATAATTTATATCTATTAATTATTATTAATCATTATATTCTCATCATAACACAAAATATAAGTACTTATAATATCCACATTTGGCAAATCCATATATGACAAAATGGATAATATCCAAATCCGCACCCAATACTAATGGATGTATGTTGACCATAGAGTGATCCATATCTAGTTCTTATAAATTCTTTTAGTACATCATTAACAAATCCTATGAATAGATCAAGGTTGATTCTGGAATTTAACAATATCAGAATTAATTTAAAATTCTCTAGTTTTTTTTTTTTACCTTAAAACTTGAAGCAGGTAATATAGATATTTTATATGCATGCACCAGTAACTTACCATATGCCGGCATGGAAGTACGGCTGTATCCTTAGGTTCTGTCATGCAAATAACACATTCAGTTCCAGAAGAGGTATCATTAAAGCTTTCGGCAGAGTGTCCAATTCCATATATCTCACGTAGCTCGTAGCGAACTCCATCAATCCACAATATCTGCCTCATCACTCTCACTTTAAAAGGATCACCGTTGTTCTTCTCCAAAACAGCTTGTGTAATCTGCATGTGAGGGCCAGTAGCGATACTTGGTAATAGATCATAAAGATGTTCATCAGTTGGGAACAAAGGCAATGTTGTCTCTGCACATATCACAAGGGGAAACACATCTTCCCCTGATGATGGTTTCGAAAGAGCATCCAACTCGAAGAATCCCAAGTCAATGCCTGTTCCCGATGGCTGACGAAATTTTTGACCAAGTCCTTTCTGAAAAGGGACTTTAACTGGTACAAATGCTTCAGCATATACTGGAGCAAACTTACAATCAGACTCTTCCTTGGCAAAGTAATAGATGGTTATGCTGTCAATTGGAAATTAAAAGAAGGAAGAAGTATTAGTTGTGCAAATAGAAAACAAAATCGCAATTTTTTTTGTTAAACAAACGTTCCATCAACATCATCCATCAGCAGAAATCAATGTGCATACTTATTCTTTCTGAGGAGAATGGTAATTATAATGGCTGTTGTTAATGTGTAATTAAGCAGTTAGAAACTCAGATAGCTGCTCATTATCTGAGATGCAAAATGGAAATCATTGTAGTCTGAGTTTGTAAGGATTAGATTCTTTACTAATCATTAAATAGCATGGTTTATTCCCGATAACGATTTCCACCATAGTGTACCATTTGGCACGTATTTTCACCTAAGGAAGGAATTTGTTTATTATTGACGAGTGCAACTTCACTACAATACTTGATGCAAAGAGGCCTTCAGCTCGTCTCAAACTCCCTAGAAGGAACCAACCATTATGCAATATGTTTGTATAAGTGATACAAGGTTGATAGCAACAGAATTAGTTTTCGCCGTGAAAAAGAAAAGCTATGTGTGAATGATCCCATCTTTAAGTAATGACCAATGAAGTGTATGGTTATACGGTTAAAGTACAGAAAATCGAGTATCATAAAGACATTTTCTTGACTGTTAACTTCAAGGTCCCATGAGATTAGTCGAGCTATGGAGCACTTGAGCATAACTGGATACCAACTCAGAACTTGGTAAATTCAACTCCACTAACAGGTACTTATAAAGCTTTTTTTCTGTTTACGTCCATTGCCTCAAGTTTGGGATCTAAATAATCCATTAGCACAAATAGTGTATAAGAAAATTGAGTTATTTGAGCCGGGGAAGTTGACTATGCGAACTGCTACTTCTCCAGTACGAGATATTCATCCTAGTCGCTATGGGTGTATCTGCCCAATTGACACATATGAAGGGACTTATTAGATCCAAAGCAATTAATGCGAGGATTGGTCATTGGAGTGAATATTTTGATCAATGAATATTCGATTCTTTCTTCAATATGGAATCAATTCACAACAACTATTCTTCATTACATGTATTCAGGTTATCCTTCATCTTTCATGAAGTTCGATAGAATGATTCCTCTACCAACGTATGATGATCAACTCCATTTGTTTGAACAACTTCCATCAAGTCTCTGCACCTATGCTTTTCTATTTTCACTTTCTAAACCTTTGTTTGTTTTCGGAAAACGTGGTTTGGCTCGGGATTGCCCTTTTTTATCGCAAGTAGGCCCAAACATCCACGATTATTCACTGCTCAAAAAGGCTCACCACAACAGCCGCCATGGCACGCCATGGCTCAAGGCTTGTGTCTCACGCCACGTTAAGCCTGAGGCACGCCATGGCGTAATATACGGTTTTTGTAACACAATAATTGATTTTACATTTTTAATGTGTTATTTGTCAGTTTTTAATATATAACTTAATTTAAATGGTTTATTATCATTGATTCATTGAGTAATAGTAGGAAACATATGTTTATGTATATAATATTGGGGTTGGGTTCGGGTGAGAAGGAGAGTTAAAGTGAGAAGTGTAAGAAGAGATATTCACCCTTGGATGCACATTAGGACGAGATGCACCCGGATGCACCGGATCAATCCTAGTATCAATCACCATTCATGGGTGGATTTGAGATTAAAGGTGATCAAGAGTCTAGATCCCTTCTTATGCTTCTCATCTTAACTCTCCTTCTCACATGATCTTTCGCCTATAATATTATATACGGGATAGAGATTTGCCACCATAAGTCACCTTGAAAAATGCCATGACCTCGTCATGGCCTCCAAGGCTTGAGGCTTGGCCTCGCCGCCATGCCACGTCTCATGTTATTTGGAACCATGCAATTATTAAAAAACCCACATTTCTTAAAAAAACCAAGGTTATTTAAAAAACCCATATATGGATCAACATATTGGGTTCATGAGTTAGGAAATAGCATCCAAAGTTTGTCGTTTATGTCAACTCATTTATGGCCTCAAACAATCACCAAGGACCTAGTTTGGTTTCATAATATCCAAGAGCGACAACGGTTACCTTCTATGGATACACGCTTTTAGTATACATTACCAACATTGTTCTTATCATAAAAGATCATAATATTATCGAGCCGAAGAATTTCAACAAATGGCAATTTCTTGATCATGGACAACTATGTTATTTTCTAGGTACACAATCTCATCGAGTGATACAATTATACCAAAGGAAATATATCCAAAATCTTATCTGAGTATGGTCTTCTAGGATGCAAACTAATGATTCACCTATTCCATCCACAATTCTCCAACCTAATGACGGGAACCTCACAATGACCCAAAACTGAGTGATTTTTACCTTTTGAATGTAGTTCGTCAATTTGTATCCACTCCCCACACAAGTAAATGGAATGCAAATCTTTAGATCTTGGAGCATCTCAACAGTTCCCCAAAGATGAAATTTTGTATTTTAATAGAAGACATTGTAAAAAAGGGGTACTTACAGAAACAGGTAGATAGCAAGTTTCGGGGTTTTCATGTGCAAATTCGGCAGGATGAGCCATTACTCGATGATCATGGTGAAATATTGTCTTCTATCCAGAAAAGCAAGAAATAGGTGATTTCATGTCGAGTCACAATACTGACCTTACAACTGAGATGACTTAGACCGATGACAATTACAGAAGTTAGAACACTTCCAAACTGATGAGAATATGCTGCAATAATTAATCTTGATGCAGCGTAGGAAAATCGACTATAAAGACTAGTCATGTCGATTCTATGAATGCCCATGAAAAGCCTCTTGAAATTCGAATTCGAAGAATTCAAGAATTTGGATGGAAAGGAAAATGTCCATCGTTCAACACTGAAACGGGTAAGGTCATGAGCCAAATACAAAAGCGCAAAGGCAAAATGAGAATAATGGCAAAAAAAGAACATAGAAGTGCCAGAAAACATGCCAAACGACGTTTTTTGGGTTCAAATTAGTCTCCTTAAGAGGCTCATTATCATCTAGACAAAGCTTTACAATAGTGACCATCAGATAATCTACAATCTACTACCTGGCTCAACCAATAACAACACAGGCCAATACGTCAAAGACATCTTCTTTGAACATGAGAAGTATACGAGGCTTCCTACGTCCACATTTGAGTTTGTATTTTCAAAACCTTCATTATACCACTTGATCATTCCTTGTAATCACACTAGCATTTTCAATGACATTGTCTGTCTCCATCTCAGACATGTTGAACCAAAAACAACCGCCTAAGATAAAGGTAAATGACTAGAGTATGAAGATGTAACATGATCAAGAAACAAAAGGCAAAAATCTAGAAAATATCGTTGCATCCTACCTCATGCATGGAAATAGGCACATTAAGTAGATGTTGGTTAGTTGCAGGCGGTCAATAAAAGATGGCAAGCTCGATGATGGAACATCTAAAGAGAAAACTACAGCCTCGACCTAGTCAACACCATGCGTAGTAGTATTGGTGCTTATATGGATGTCTCATCCTCTTACAATAAACCTCAAGAAGAGCATTAGGTTAAATCAATCAAAGGGTCAAAAAGAAATCTCACTTAATGATGTATACTTTCACCAATCCAACAAATGTGTATTTTATGTAAGCAACCTCACTTCAATGAGGTTATGATCACACTATGATTCATTTAATTTCAATGATGTTCATAGATCTGGTAAAATCACAAGAAAAATACATATCCATTTTATCATTGGTAAGTTTTGATAGACATGTCAAAATACTTCTTCACACTAGCACAAAAAAAGACAAAAAGAGTATTTTTAATGAAATTTTCGTCTACTGATTCATAGCTCTACTAAAATCACAACAAAAGTAACGATACGCGCAAGCAGAATAATCCCAGATATGATAGCAATATCAAGAATTCACTTCAACCTAGATTCACTTTAACATGTGTTAAATATAGCAAAGTTTGGTTTACCTTTCTATAGAGTAGTGTTAGTATTTCCCTTTTTAGGTTTCTTGATCTTATATATATTGTAATCTCTTTTAGAAAGAAATATACAACAATTACCAAATTTGAGTAATAACATGGTATTAGAGCTAATGGAATGCTACATGTCGCCGGAACCCTAGTCGTTGTCGCCAGAATATGCCGGAACCCTAGCCGCCTCCGTTGCCGGAACTCGCCTAAACCCTAGCCGCCTCCGTTGCCAGAACTCGCCTAAACCCTAGCCGCCTCCGTTGCCGGAACTCGCCTAAACCCTAGCCGTCGCCATCGCAGGAACTCGCCTAAACCCTAGCCGTAGCCGTCGCCTGAAACAACTTCCCCCGCTGGCCTTCTTGTCCAGATTTGCGGCTGTTGGTACCATCTCCAGACCTGCCACCGGCGCTGCCGTCCTGAAGGCTGACATCAGGTTGAAGACTTGCTCTTGTGATGTGGCTGCTGGGATAACACCTGAAGAAGGAAGACTCCCCTTTGGTTCCTTTCTTTTTCCCTTTCTCATTTGTTTTCCTAGAACTTGACTTGTGAACAAGCCAATGAGAAGGGTTCCAGCCTTTTTATACATCTAAGAAAACAGCACTGTGAGGGAACGAATTCCAGCCTTTCTCTTTATATATAACAAGCTCACTAGTGACACCTACACACAAAACTCAGGGTGCAACCTCTGGTTACTTCTCCATTCTGGGTATAATCAATTTTTCTGACATGTTAAAGATTCCGTTTGAACTTAACTCTACAAATTGGGATCAATGGAGTATGTTTGTCCAAACTGGTCTCGAAAGTTTGGAGAAAGATGAATATTTAAGCAACGACCCTCTGAACCCTAAAACCCGGGAGTGGAAACTGAACGATGGAGTCTTCCTTCTCAGCCAAAAAATCTTTTTCTCATACTTATTCTGTTTCGTTCTTATTTCAGCTGCGAGGAAGGTGACTCCGATCTCACGGAGTACTATACTAGACTATCAAAGCTATCAAAAGAGCTCCGAGTTCTTTTCCCTGTCACTCCTGATGTTAAAGTTCAGGAGGAGCGGTTAG